TTAAATATATAAGAGAAGTGAATTAGGTTATATTTAGACAAATTAAAAAAGAACTTATAACAGATTACTTATAACGTGATTCATAATCGTCCTATGTATATAATTGTCCTGCGCACTTTTCTTCTAAATCACAACCTTCGAACTATTATATACTATTATAATACAACAACATAATGAATTCTTAATCTTAGGAAGCCAGAATTCTCCTTGCTATCCAGGCTATCTATACTAACTAAGAAATGTTGATTCGACGTGCTGTAAAGACGTACGATGTCCTTTAAACTACCCTTCATAATCATATAAAGGACTATACCTCAAAGGCCGAAGAGCGTAATGCTTAACATATTTTGACCCTGACTGAAGAAGAGACGCTTATACGATATATCCTTGACCTGGATTCGCAAGGATTCCCACCCCGGATCAACAACGTACGAGATATAGCCGACCTTCTTCGCAAGACGTATCACGTAAAGCCTGTTAGCAAGCAGTAGTTATACAACTTTGTATAACGCTGCCCTAAGCTTAAGACACGTTTTTCGTGTATGTATAACTTCTAAAGAGCCCTCTGTAAAAGTATCAATTTGAACTAATTTTGAGGTGATTTAGTAGAGAAATAAAAGAGTAAAATAATATAAAGTAGTAGAATTAATTAGTGTGGCATGCTAAGTTTTAATAGAAACAAGAAATAGAAGAGCTTTAAAAGCCTAATTCTCTTATAACTTCTTGATTACTTTAGCTAGAAGTCTTTAACAAGCTTTTTATAAGAGTTTATAGTTATATTTATATAATATATTATTTATAAATTTATATCTTTTATACTAATAAAGTTAATCTTAAATATATTTTTAAAAACTAATACTTTGTTACTTTCTTTTTTTTTCTTCTTTTAATATTAACTCTATTAATCTGAGACCTAAAAATTTAGATAGAAAATTTTAAGGGCTATCAAATAGTACTATTTATAGATTTATAACTTTAATAATTAGCCTGATATAGCTAATCAAAGGTTTACACTTATAATTCACTTTTGATGTTTTTAACGCCAAGGCTGCAGCTAGGTCTTAACAAATTTTGATGTTCTTAACGCCAAGGCTGCAGCACTCTTCTATAATTTTGATGTTCCTAATGCTAAGGCTGCAGAAATAACCTCACCGCTAAACACGGGTACCTCTTAACGCTAAACCCCTAACGGTAAGAGTCTCCTACAAGGGTCTATTCGGGGTCACAAGGGATAGAGTTAAGTGTTATGCTAGGCAAGAAAGGGATATATAATACCTTTATTAAATCTGAGAGAT